AACAGCGGCTTTACCTTGCAACAGGAAGGCGGGGAAAAAGAGGAAAAAACAGCGAGCAACAGGCTGTGGCTCCGGGCAGAAACCTCAACCCCTGTCCCCTCGCTCACCTGCTCGCAAGCGTGCCTCCCACACGCACCGAGCGCCGCCCGTGACAGAAAAAAACCAAACCACCTTCGGGAAGACGCACCGCACCAACAACAAGCAGACAAAACAGAAACGAAGGCGATCCAACACACACTTCCTTTCGTCGCACAGACAAGGTAGATGGCAAACAAAAGGCATATTTGCGATCAACAAGAAATCGCCTGCAGATGCTGCCGATAAGCCCGATAGAAGTAGCATGTCTTTATATAGGCGCGACTTAAAATTGCCTTTTCTAAACAATGGGGCACTTTGACAACGGACAAATTGAATTTACCGCTCTCAAACTAAATATTTTACATACACATTTGCCCCATGTCATGCCAGCATATTCTGTTTTGACAGTATTCGACCACTTAATGAATTGTGTTTTGGATACACTTGAAAGGGGTTCTGAATCAAGGATAAGAGCTTTGCTAAGAGAATGACCTATAAAAAGGACACATTTTAAGAGGGTAACGCTAATCCTGCTAGTGCCCTGGACCTGGTCAGACATACGGGCTTTCCCAAATGCACAGGGAAACAACACAACCCAGAGAACATGATGGCTCTAGCAGAGTGGAATGACCGCATGTCCAAGCCCATATAATCACAGCACAGGGACAGCGAGCAAAATGAGATAATACGAAAGATAAGGAAGTAGGAAGAAAGACTGGTTCTCTCATGTGTAGCAAAGTGCTGTAACCAAAAAAAGGGATGCAACAGTTTGGCTATTGTTTCGTGCCAGCAGAGCATTCGGTTTGAGTTTTACAATTAGTCAGGGTGATTACATTAGGGAAAGTTAAAACACTCCTCAATGCCAAGAGGATAAAGAGCTATCCACGGGAAACTAAGGAAAAAATCAATGCACAAAAAAAGTATCACAGAATATCCAGTTTCATTAACCATTAGTGTTACATTGAAAAAAAAACACATTGAATACCAATAGATTTATCAATAAAAACCAGAGGAGAGAGAATTACAGATACTTTTTTTGCAATAATCTTCTAGAATTACTTGTTTTCAGACATGAAACATGAGCTCTAATGATAAGGAACAGCCTTTAGATGTCACCAGTAACAATTATAATTATAGGATCCGAATCAATGTTTATTTTTATAATTAGCAAAGCTACCTTTAGAAGAGACATTTTCCTTATAGTCATCAATAAATGCAAGCCTATTGCAACCACAACCCTTGACAGGTTTTGTAATATCGGACCAGTTAAATGAATTAGCTGCCATTCCCTGATAGATTAATGACATTATTTAGTAGGAAAAGGAGCTTTTTCCTTGTCCTTAATTGCAGTCTACAGCCCTACAGGACATTGTTTATTGGACTTGCTCAGTTACTTAGGAGGCTGCCAAAGTGATCGGAAGGGTGAAAATCAGGGAGTAAAAAAATGAGAAAGAGGTAACTCAGTGACCTACATATTATGGTAGTCTTGGATACCTCATGGTTGAGACATCAAGCAGTATTAGGCAGTGTATAAAGTTACAGAGGCATAACATGTTTAGGAAAGAAAGAGCCACATAGCTAATCTGAAAGCAATTTACTCACCAAGTCATAAATGTACAGAAGACAAGTAAATAAGGTGATTCTCTCCCCCAGGTGAAGCCAGTACCTAAGCCTCATACATCATTAGATGTTTTATTCAATAGAACAGACTAGGCTGCTCTGCAGGTGTTACTGTAGATGAGAAATACTAGCTCTTTTATACAGAGGGCCCTGTTTGATTCACTGTCATCTCCAGGCCTGCCAAGCCCTAAGGTACAGTAGCTCAGGAAACAAAATAAAAGCAGCTTTCCAAGTGATAAGTGATGTCTGCAACTTAAACCTCAGCCCCAGTGCAGTAGCTTTAGTACAGCTTTATTCTCAAATGGGCAAACTTGCACGACCAAACAGCTTAGAATACGCTGACTTGGCATTGGAATTTCACGAAAGCAATGCATCGTCAAAAACAAGACTAGCGCAAACTCACATACAAAAGTTGCTGAGCAGAAATGTCTAAGGTTGCATGCACCCTAACATTTCTTACCAAGGTATAGGAAACAAAGGTTTTAAAAGTTACCGGTTAAAACCTAATAGTAGCCTTGATTTCTGCAGGTCTTAATCCCGTACCAAAACAGGGTGAGACTCTTGGAGATCAAGAACAGTTGCAACCTCTTTATTTGAGCACGCTCAGGAAGTGATCTGATCAGTGTTATTTGCCAGCAGCAGTGGTGCCCTGTGGCCCTCTCTCATCAGATTACAGGGGCAAAGCATGGCTGCTCCTGGTCAGTACTGGGAGGGGAATATAAAGAGAATCAGTACAGCGACCAAGGGACTGTATGCCAGTACTTTGCTGACTTTCCACTGAGACACTAAGATCCCGTGGTGCTCTTTTATAGACTATCACTTTATGATGCTATGCCCTTCCATGCCATTGTCCTGCCAAAGTCCCCCTTTGGACTTACACAACATGGCTTCTCTAAAATTTCCCGTTTTACTCAGTTGGCATAAATTCTTTCTTCGCCACCTGATCTGATGTGCAGTGAGGCTGCAGACACAAAACGGCTGCTGTGTCAGTTAGGGATGAAGTGGGTCCCATCCTATATGTGAAGTGCAAGCAATTATTATAGATAATACTAAGTGCTGCAAATGTCCAGCCTCGTTTTCTTAACAGGTTTGTGACAAATGAATGTAGAAGTATAAAAAAAGTTTGTTCACAAAAACTAACCCAAAAGATGCATTTTGAAGGAATTCATAATTAAATGTAACCAAAGTATATCTAAACAATGAGACATTTATCATTTCTTGCAGGTCTCTTAGATTCTTGGAGCTCTTCTGCTACAGTACCCAGAATGAACTGTTATTAATTTGAGGCCACCCCTAGAGACTTCACAGAACAGTGCCAGACACTAACAGCTCAGCTGTCCTGAACTCTAAGTCAAATTTAAGTCAGTCCACAAATCAGGGCTGGATTTCCACCGAGGATAAATTAAATATTTGTCCAAACTACTGAAAATAAAATCTCTTAGTTTAAATGTTTACATGAATTTACATTCACGGAAAGTTTATTTTGACGCGAGCATTAATTTGACAAACTTAGTGCACGTCCCTTGTCTAAACATTTAGCGAAAATGTATGGAGAATACGCCTGAGAAATTGCTGGTTCATTTAAAAGCACTGTACAATCAGGTCGGGGGTGCATCTATGTCATTTGTCGCGTTATTAAACAGCTGGATCTAAACCATTCATATTTCCGTATTAAGACACCGGGGGTCTCACAAAACAATCAAAAGCCGATGATGAACTGTTCTCTCACTGGTTAAAGGTTTATGTACAATTGTCTTAGAAGCAGCCTCGATTTGTTGTCATTCTGTTAGACTATATACAAAATACCAGATGCTCTTTACTGTACCGCGCTGTCAGGCTAATTACAAGCAGATTTGAGCTAGCTGCACTCCTAGTTCCGTATCTCCAACACCTGTACAGCAGTTTCCTTTTGAAAGCGCTCCCTCGAACAAATACACAACAGCCATGCTTCTATACCGCAAACAAAAAAAAAAGAGAGTATTACCACACTTCATTGGCGGCGACAGAATGGCAACACCTCGACTCAGCATGTTTTAAAACTCTTGCAAAATACCAACGGCTCGGCAACCTAGTTCTCAGACCGTAGCAAGAAGCAAAGTAACTTAAAGAGTTTTCGATTCCAAGTTGTGCAAAATTGGACTGACAAAAGCGGTTCGTACATCCATTTGACGGTCAATGTCTGAAATGACAAATCAAACCACGAACAAGCTACCCGCGACGCACACCCCCAGAGACCCCGTGCACCGGGCTGTCACCAAAGGGGTTCATAAATTAGCAATAAAATCACTCTGATCTGTTCATCCGCGGGTTTTTTTTTTTGGAAAACGGAACACTGCATCTGTGGGTTTAAATTTAACCTTCGAAATCCAGCTGAAAGGTTTAAAGGTTTAAATGGCCGGGATCTGCACACAGCTCGTTCTTGGATCCACCAATTAGCACACATTGCCCACAGTATTTGAGGGCTTGCTCCCTTGTGTCAGGTGTTGACACATGTCATAGGGTCTTGAACACAAAATATCCATCTGTGCCAAATCAAATATCTGAAACAGTTTTATTTTACTATGACATAGGGACGGATTTGATTTGAATCATATTTCAACATTACATATCTTATAGGAGTTAAACTGACCTTTTTTAGTTGTTTAAAAGAAACCCCTCTTCCACCCCCACAAAGCTATAAAAACATGTTTCCGGTTGCAATAACTAACCCTCAAAAAGCGTACATTCACGTTTCATTGTTCCCGGGGGAGACATTAAACAGGGCTGGTAAAATATAATTTCACACCTTGGCTATAGGTCTGTTTCTTCACGGCTGAATAGAAACTCCTCAGACTTCGGTGTGAAGTTAGTCTCCGTTCTTTGCAACAGAATGAACTACCCGTGTTCCAAAAGTTAAAAAGACCAAACGTGCACTTCAAAGCGTTTCCTCTTGTCATATAGATTTTAACACCTAGCTTTTACAACATGCTGTTTAACTCCAGGAAACAGAAGAATCCCCGGGAACAATTACGTTTCTTGCAGCGCAAGCGAGATAGAAGATTATCTTCTGCCTGGGGACTGCGTTATTTCTTCACAGACGCCTTTAAAACAAACAGCAGTAAAACTCAGTCCAGGGCTATTTTGTAACGGCGCACATCAAAGGCAACAAACGCAGCTCGAATTGACTAGACAGGACTAGACGGCAAACTGTTTTTTTTTTTTAAAAGAAAACGTCAGCGCAAATTTGTTTGGGTATAACAAATGTATTGCACCATACTTGTATCCTACGTTTATTTCTAATGAAAGAGGAAAACGATATTTACCATAAATCGTTTCAAACGAAGCTGTTAGCGCTGCGGGCTACAATTCCATGCAGGTTGCCGAGCCGGGCATCTGCTTCAGAAGGCGGCTGTCCAGAGGGGGAACAAGCGTCTCATGTTTGAAATCCAGAATTCAAAGATAATCCTAAAATCTTTTTTTTGTTTGTTTGTTTTCTTTGACCAAAAAAAAATATATTACTTTGCCCGTGGGCTTACAGTAACGACCCACTTAATCTCCCTCCGTCAGCAGCTCCGACGAACTCAACAGCGGCAAGCGGTGCGCGAATCCAGTCCCAAACAGACGCCCGTTTAGTTATTTCTGCTGCTCCGTGTAGTAATCCACCCAGACACATCAGGTTATTTTTCAAAAGATTCGTTCCTCCCCTGGCCGTTAGAATAAAAATGCCCTAATCTCGCCTATAGCAAATCTTCAATCCGGCCGTGCGAACGGTCTCAGTAGTTGAACACATATTAAACCTCTCCTCTCCTAGGAAACAATCCGAAAACCATCCCTTCACTTGGCCCTTTCGTTTTCTTCGGAGGTTTCATTGATGCATTCTGATCTCTTGGAAAATCACACAAATGTTAAAAGGCAACGCAGGATTCATCTCGATTTAATCCCGAATGCACGGAGACAGACCGTCTTCGTTGCCCGCTTTTGCTCCAGCACACTGGATGACTAATATTGATGCGTGCATTTAAATAAGTGCTTGCAATTGAAATCGGATTTTGTCTGCACCTGGTCTTGCTCGGTTAATTCGATTTTTTTGTTCGCAAAGATTATATCACCCATATGTTAATTAATTTGAAAAACAGAAGCGCTCGGTTGCGGAACAGTTATTTTAGGCTAAATCCCTCTGATTGGAAGCAGACGCTCTAAGAGAAGTACCAGTGATGAATTAGTGGTGTGTATTCTTGATGATAAAGCTCCTGTTTGTCTTGATAGGTTCTCCGCTGCAGATCCTTAATCCCTTGCTTGGAAAACGTTTTTTGCCTCTAGATAACAATCTTCTGATTTCCGTACAGTGGGAATACGTTGCTCTAATATGTAATCATCAGTCCAATCGGAGGCTTCTAAAATCCGGTTTTGCCCTTGGTCTAATTAATCTCTAATGTTTAATGTCAAACGGATAATTTGAATGTTTCGAGCAGCTTTTTGCCCGCTCCCGAAGGCAGACCTTCTCCCGCAATGAGCTGCTGAAACTGACAATAACCCGGAACGATGCAAGCTCTCACGGTCCCTCAGACCGCCTCCCGACCAATCAGGCCGCAGAGGGAATTGAAGCATTCCCACGGGTCGGCCAATCAGAGGTAAAGGAAGGCGGTTACCACGGTGACGCCGCAGCGTCCCGGAGCCGAGTTCTAAACCACGCGGCATTTTCGCGGAAAATTCAAAGCGACTGTAAGCAGAGGTAAAATGATAGCCAACGAGGAGCGCCGAAAAACATCCACTTCGATTAGTACCTTCTTTCGGCTTCTGAGATCATTTTGAATGATTTTAAAAATTGCAAAGCATATGAACGACTGGAGATTTGGAGACCGAATTACTAAAGTCGAATTCTATAATGTCCACGTTTTTGGAATGATGCCTTTTGATTAAGGCAGGTCGGTGTCTTACTCCTTGACCGTGAGATTGTGCGAGGTACATCGGTTTGATGATTCACTGGCCACTTTTGCTATTTGAGATTATTACTGGCGAGAAAGCTGCTACTGCAACAAATATAACAAACTTCGTGAAATTGCCATATTACAGAATTATTCACAGTCAATATGCCAAACGATAGGCATATTTAAAAACTTAATGTAAACAGAACACTATAGATTCCCATATAATGCTAATTTAATTAAAAAATGTATAATGAATCACTCATCTTATAACATAGAAACATGGTCCATTTGTATGCACAATATGAACATATAAATCATGTTAAAACCCTTTTCTGTTTCTGTAAGATTGTTTTTTAAGATATGCTGAATATGCAAGCATACAGTATCATGCTTATTGCGTTTAATAGGCATCGTTATCTCACTGTTTATCTTCTAGATAGCTTTCTATATACACTATGCATACCATGACCCCAAAGAAGCATTTTCCATAATGAGAGGGATTTACATGGCTTATTTGACTATCCATTCTTAAAATGATTAATTAATGTAAACCTAGACAGCCTTATTTGGCTATATTTGCCTACTTGCTACCTACTTTTAAAATGAAGAAGTGATGTTTTATTGAAAAGTTAGTACTGGAAAGAGGAGGAAGATTACTGTAATTGCTTTAAGAGACATCTAGAATGTTTTAAAACATTACTATACATCCATTTTCTAACTACGTCTTCCAATGAGTTATATGTGAGTGAATTCTAACTCTGATGTGGATTTTTTTTAAAGCAAACATTTTAATTCAATTTTAAATACAAGAATTGAAAAAGGAACATTAGATTATTCTTTATTGCCACACAACAATAGTTGGTGGAATTTGCTATCGGTACAGCAAGAACACAGATGAGACATACATACAACATACACAGTACAAATTTCAATAGGACAGAAGACAGACAAACATTGTCACATACACATGTAAAGACGTTCACCTTATTATTACTGTTATTATTTAAAATAACGATTTAAAAGATAAGATCAATTTTAATTAATTGTTTTGAATATGGGAATTATCTTATGTTAGTTTCAGAAAGATTATAATTCACAGTTGTGAATTGCATTTCAAGCAATTTATATACCTATTTTTATTAGGTTCTTACTCAAACTAAATAATATTTGCCTGTTATGCTTTACATGTGTTAGAACCAACATTCTTACACGGTAGACTGACACCTAAGTATACTTAATACATCCCAGTTTTGCCTCGAAATAAGAAAGTTTTCACATTTATTTTAGAAACTGACATTTTTTTACACTGAAGCCAAAATTTCAGTAGCCATAAGTAAACTCCATCAAAATCCTTCTCCTTAATGCCTTTCACTTCTATCTTTTGTCTGTATTTCAAAGGCGCAAAGAAAGTCCTGGCTTATCCCACCTTTTCTGACTATACATCTCAATGCGGAAGACTGGGCTTAATGGAGCTGCTGCAGATCCAGACCTCTGCCTGCCATCAGATAGGGTGGAAATGGATGACCTGGCTTAAGATGGATTTCTGAGAGTCTGCATCACCTTCTCAATCTTCCTGATGCTTTGAGGCTTTTATCACTGCTACACTGCCTGGAAGGCTGAGACACTTTCTTAACCCGCCTAAGCAAGAATCATGAATATGGCATCGACTCCTCTTCAACCATGCTTAATTATGAAAGGTACAGTTTTGCTCTTTAGCTGGATTTCTAGTTTTCAAGCCTACACTGAATACTGAAGAGCAAGAGGTACTTGGTGCATCTAACACAACTGCCTTGAACAGTGTCTGCCAAACTCTGTTTTGAAAGCAAGGTTCTTCTGTCTGTCCAAAGGTATTTTTTTTCAACTAGGCAGGCAGGAAACAAGTCTGGTGAAAACAAGAGGACTGGTCCAACTGATTACCATTAATAGCTTCATTTACAAATCCCGGGAGACGATCAAGAAAGAAATTTGTATCTTCAATTGTTCTCAGTATAGAGGAGGTAATAAACAAAGCGTGTCGGATAATTGTTTCTCGCGGCACCGCACATACTTTTATAGTTCCAGGCTTTTGCACACTGAATTATATTAATGTGCTCCTATAAAATAACTCCATAAAGTAGTGATCTCTTTCACATTCTTGAACATCATCTGTTGGGACATGTTATTGCTTTGTCCCGTACAACAGGCACAAATGGATAGCGCTTACAGTCTTTAAAAAAACCTTCTGTTTTCCAGCGGTCAATTCAAGTACAACTAAACTGCAGTCCGGCTGAAATTAAACTACACTGGCAAATAGCACCTTCAGTTGTACTATTCTACTCCATCTTCCCCCATTTCTCATACAGGACCTCATAAACAGTGTTATCTCTCAGAGGCGTATTGTTTTGAAAGATTTTTTTTTTTCCTGCAGCTGCACATTTAGCCCTGTTTCAATTTGCCTGCCCTGCAAGCAAAATGGTTTAGTTGTGCAAAGTTCAGGCGCAACACAAACAGCAAGGTAACGAAAAATCAATAGCAGCAAGGCATGGAAAAAAGAGATAGCATTGATTTATCTGCCATCGATACGCAGGATCACTGCATCGTGCCCTGGGTAAAATTCGCACAGGCTGCCGTCTGATGGGAATGAATCTGAAAAGGTGACAAGTGGTTAGAGGACACAGAAAGGAAGAAGGGGGGGATGAGATGGTGTTGGGGGGCTTGGAGAGAGAAGAAATGAAACATTAAGAACAAACCAGGAGGGCAGCTTGTTGAGACATAGCATTAAAATTGCACTAGGAAAAGCATCAACAAGTGAGAACGGCAGGAGAACCCAGAAATAGTGAGAAGATGTTTTTTTTTTTTCACAAGAGCTTGTTTTTGTGGTCTGCCAGTGTTCCTTGAGGTGTACTCTACGCTCCTCCACAACCCCCCCCAGTGGCCCTGTTTCATTACTGGCAAATTAAAAACAGGAAACAGCAGGTCTTTGCAGTTTGTCCAGGTCACCCTGTATTAGGTTCCAAGCATTAAGCTCTTTGCCTCATGCTGACCTTCAGAGAAGTAAGAGCTGTATTTGTAGACTAAGCATGCCAGGAAATGCTTACATTTTGCCAACACTGTCAGCAGAGATGAATGCTGAACCTTTTCCTTGATGACATAAGTATATATTATTGTTACTGGAGATGCTAAAAAAATAATGAATTCACTCAGATAGAAAGATGTCCGTGTTCTAGCTGAAATGCTTTATCCTATTTAATCAATGAAAATGACATGTTTCAGGCTTAATTGGTGTGTTTAACGTGGAAAAAAAACACTATGTGCTACAATGCAGTAAACGGCCGCAGAAAGCAGCTCTTATACTGTAGTTCCCATTACATCAACTACAGTATGTGTACATCTCCAGAGACTGGAGAAAGAAAGTTACAATGTTATTTCATCAAATGCCTTGTAAAATCATGAAAAACTGCAGCATACGATACATGCTCCTCTTGCCCTCTCTGTCTGTATACACGTATGCACACACAAATAAATAAGGGTTAGTTTGAGGCAATGAAAAGAGGACAGCGATAAGATGACTTCATCATCTATGCCTTGTGTGAGTGGGATACAACATTCCAAGTCGTAGTTATTCGGCTAAAGGGTACCATTGATCAATCACTGAAGGGAAAATTTGGACTAGTCAATCAAACCCAGCCTACATGACTTCTGGGACATGAACGTGCAAAGGCTTGTGGGAGTCTGGAACACCCATGTTGTTGAAGCTGATACCCTGGCGTCTTTCAAGAAATGCCTAGATGTAATCCTTGAATCAATTAGTGGCTACTGCACGGGCTGACTGGCAATTTGTAACCTTTCTTACATTTATAGATGTTGAGTGTCATCAGTCACACAAACACAAAAATCACTTTTCCAAACCTACCATCAGTCTGCATGTTTAAGTTCACAGAGCTGGAGGGGGACTGATGATGAAGATCACCTCCACAAATCAGAAGAGCAAAGTGCATTAAAAGCAAGACAAAAAAATAAATAAATGCATACTTGCTGTATAGATCACACTCCATGATCCATTGTCCCCTTTCTCACATGCTTTCCTTTCTGTGTCCCAGAAAGTGTTCAATCTGATTTACATATTTCACCTGGAGAGCTTTTGTGGTTGATGTGTAGTTTATAGTTGAGTTCCTTTTTCCCCCTCAGGTGTGAACAGGAAAGGACTGAAATCTTACACTTAGGAGAGCTGAAAGGAAGAAAAGCTGAGTCTGAATATCACTCATCAAGGCAAGGAGACATGGGACAGGAAAGTGTAAGACACACTGGAGCATTGTAAATAAACATTTTTGTTGCTAAAACACCTCCACTGTTTCATTTATTTTTGCCAACATACACTGTCAAAATGTGTTAATTATTCTTTCTCCAGTAAGCCAAAAAACATTTCCATTTTTGATCTCCATTTAAAAATGCCTTTTAAAAAGTGCAAACAAGGTGACATATATAAAGCAAGAACCTTTTACACCTGTTCTGTTTAACTGTGGACACAGAAAGGTGATAAAATATTTCATTCTATGAATAAAAACAACGATAACACAAATCTCAGAATTTAGGAAGACCTTA